CTCCCCCCCAAGCCCCCCCCCCCCAAAAAAAATCCCAGCAGGGAAAGCCACAAAAGGGGTGGAGGGAAACATAAACGTTGCAAAAAAAAGCCCCCTCCCCCCCACAGCTGATTCCCAGGCCTCAACCCCCTCCCCTTTTTCCTTCTGTGTCCAAAGCTTTTTATTGGGGGGGGGGGCTGTCTCCTCCGAGAAGAGAGGCTCCATGGGGGCAGGAAGATCCCTCGCGGAGAACAAGCGGCGCAAAGACCCCCCCCCAGCCCCACCTTGCACCCGCCCCTCTCCCCAAACGCCCCCTGGCAGGAACGGGGCCACCGCGGCTTCCCGATCGGGGCCCCCTAGACGCCCCCCAAATGCGCTCCCCGCTCGGCTGCCGGGGAAAAGGCGAGGCGGGACTTTTCGTGGGGGGGGGGGGGACGGACCGCGCGGGGGTCCCCTTGCAAGAAGCGCTGCCCGGCCACTCCGCCCTTCTCCCGGGGAAGGGAAGTGGGGTAAAGGCTTCCCCCGGGAAAGGCTTTCCCGGAGCATCCCGTCCCCCGAAGCGAGGCCCGGGACGAGGGGAAGGAAGAGGTCCAGGCGCCCAGGCAAAGCAGCGGCGGCGGCGGGTCGATCATCCCTGCCCACCGCCCTCCACCTCACCTGGAAACGGGCAGCCAAGGCGGGCAGGCTGCTTCTCCTCCCTCCGGCCGTCGCTCGCTCAGCACCTTCGCCTGCCTGCCTGCCGGGGGTCGAGCAGCCGCGCCCCGCCCCGCCGCCGCCGCCGTTGTGGCCGTAAAAGGCGAGAGGGGCGTCTGCCAAAAGCGGCGCTTTCCTGTACCTGCCCGGCCCTCCCGCGCCCCGTCTCGAACTCGCCGCGCCTTCCTTCCCTCTTCCCGTGGCTGGTGGGGCCGAGGCAGCCTATGCTTCCCACCCACCCCCCAAAAAAACACAGCTGGATCGTGGGACCCAGCATCCCCAGCCTTGGGCCGGAAGCAACCATTCCCATCTGGACTCATTCCCTGGCTCGGCTGGGGGGACCGGATCCCCCCCCTCCCCACCTTCCTTTGAGAGACAGGCGGGATGTCTTCCCTTGGCCGCAGCCTGGGAGACCCCCCCCTCCAGCTTCCCAATAAAGAAGCCATTCAATCCGAGGAGCCCCCTCCCCTCCCTTAGGCCCCAGTCAGACAAACATCAAGGACACGTGAACCCCGCCAAGGACCCAAACTGGAGGAAATCAACTCAAGCCAAGCTCCTTCCTAATTTACGGGAGGGAAGGAAACCAGCAAGTTACTCTGACAGTCAAAAGCCCCCTCCCCCGGGGTGGGGGGTGGGCTTACTTTTGTCCCGGTTTTTTTGTATGGGTCTACAGTGGTCAGATTCCAACAATTTCACTACCGGTTCTGTGGGCGTGGCTTGGCTTGGTGGGCGTGGCAGGGAAGGATATTGCAAAATCCCCCTTGCCTCCCCACCCCCGCTAACCTGCTTTCCAGCTCCGTTCTCCCGGGCAGGGCAACCCAAGGAGACCCAGCCGATCAGCTGGGACTCAATGGGAGGCAGGGAATAGAGGGGGTTGGCGGGGGGTGGGGGGCAGTCAGAGGTGGGATTGGCCGGTTCTCCAAACGACTCCAAACTTTCTGCTACTGGCCAGAACCGGCTGAAGACCCACCTCTGGGCTGACCCCTTGCAAAGAAGCTTGAGGATGGGGGGTGTTTAGTTGCTGCCCCTGCCAGCTGCTTACCTCTCTTCCGCGGGGAGCATTTCAGTCCCGCAAGCCGAGGCCCAGCAGAGTCAGCTCGTGCCCCACTGCTTTTGCCAGCTGGATCCCGCTTATGCCCAGGTGATGAGGGACATCCTGTATGAAGACGGTGTGGCCTCGATCCTCACCCGATCCTCACTGACTCTTCCTAGCGGCAGCCGCTTGGGAGGTTCTGAGTGACAGGAACCCAGTCGGCTCCCGCTGGCTTCTTGGGCCATGAAACGGAAGGCGGCTTTCTCAAGCCCCCCCCCCATGCCCCCAATTCTATCTCTTAGCCCCCAGCTGGATGAGGTCTGACCTTGCAAACTGGCAAGAGCCCCCAAAATTGGCTCCAGGCTGCCACCTGCTGGACTCACAAGGAGCGGGAGATGCCTCTCCTCCCTGGTTAGGAGGATGGGCGTTGCAAGACAAGTCAGTCGGTCACACCCGCTGGGGTCAGAGGTTACCAATGAGGAAAGGAAACTGGGCCCCTCCGCTTTGGGGGCCATGCCCCCTTTCCCCCCCAACCCCATCTTTGACAGGGACAGCCTCTGCCTTGAGGGGTGGGCATCTCCCTGCTCCCCTCCTCCTGGAAGAGCCGTCCAAGAGAAGCCAGATTGGGGGCAGGGGAGCCACGTGGAGGGGGGTGGGGTGGGGGGGGAAGGCAGGACTTCTGGAAGGCAGCGGCTGTGAGAGCCCCTCGCCCATGAGTAAAAAAAAAATTGAATCCCGCCCCTGATTCAAACCTGTAAAGAAGCTGTAAAATGTCTGGAATGGAGGAAAAGAGCTTACAGATATGTAGAGTTGGAAGGGACCTTGTAGGTCATCTAGTCCAACACCACCACCACCACCCCGCCCAACCAGGAGACCCTACAGCATTTCTGACAAATGGCAGTCCAAGCTGTGTGTGTGTGTGTGTGTGTGTGTGTGTTGGGCCTGAAAAGGAGGGGGGGCCTTTAAGGAAAGCATTGGAGAGACGGAAGGAGCGTGTGGAAGGAACAGATGGACGCAGGGCAGGAACCTTTCTCGCTCTGACATCCATCATCTCGGAAAGCCCCCGTTGAGTGTGTGTGGGGGGGATAGGGCTTCAGCCCACTGCCAGCCACCCGGGGGGGGGGGGAAACCCACCACAAGGGCTTGGAGCGTAGGGAAAGATCGATGAATAATAGCAAACGCCTTAACAGGGCTTTGGATAACCCCCACGTCCCCTGAAACCCGCGCCGTGGGCTGAAAAGAGCTGCAGGCCGTCTTCCTGTTGTAGGAAGTTAAAACCCACCCCTCTCCTGAGGTGACACTCCCAAATTAGTGAAAGGGGAGGGGAAACCCATGTTTTATTTTGTGTGTAAAAGCTTGTATAAATCTAGAATTTATGGAAAGAATATGCGATGGAATTGCAAACTTGACAGGTAAAAGAATTAAAAGTTAACGTATGAAGATATGGGAATTATTAGTGACTTAAATAAGAAAAGAGTATTATGGAAAAGGTCATGTTTAAAAGAAAGGATAATGTTTGAGAAATATTTGAAATAAATTGAAATGAACCGAGAAGATATTTAGAATGAAAGTAATATTAGTGAACAGGATTAATTTTGTTCCTTTTCTGATTCAAACGTCGGAGAATTAAGTTAAAAACGGATAAGATAGGAAGTTCCACGTAGAAAATGAATAGATAATTATTGTCATATTTGCATGTAAAAGTAGTGATCTGGAATTATGTTGTACACCGAAATGAGTTTTTTTTTATTTCTCTTTGTTTTGGAAAAATTGAATAAAACTTGTTTTTTTAAAAAAAAAATCAAAGGGACCGGTTTGGACAAAACTCAGTAGCACTTTTTTCATGCGGCTATGGATAAAAAATAGGATCGCCCAACGTCCAATGACCCCAAGAAGGATAGGCTCCAAGAAGAAGGACCGCTGACTGAAATAACTTCGCCTTCATTTGATTTCTCCCACTGGGGAAAACCTTAGCCAGGAGAAGAGAGAGCGAAACAGGCAAGCCGGGAGCCAGGGATGAAGGCCCACCTGCCAGTTCCTGGGTGTGTGGAGGATTGAGGGTGGGACTGGACGTGATGCTGGAATCTAAGCCCAAAAGGCACAACTGCCTCCCAAAGTAAGTGGCAGCTTTCCTTCTGTGGGGGGCACTAGGCCCACCTGACCCTCAAAATCTCTCGGGGAGGAACAGGGGTCAACCCAGGCTCAGCTCCCTTTAACTGGGAGCCCTGGCACCCCGAACCGGGGTGACTCCTACCCTCTCGGCCTTCCCCAGGGTAATGGCAGCCAGGTCTCCGGCGCCTCCCCTTAGCCCAAATGGACTCCCCCTGGCCACCCACCGATTGAAGCCTCTCCCAGTCTGACCCGTTTTGGCCTCTCTGCTGTCCCCAGGAAGGCAGACCGGAGATGGAATTGCGGTGCCACGGCGCCCCACAAATCGTTTTGACACCAAAGCCGGAGAGCCCAGAAGGGAGATGGTCCTGTGGCCTGCCTGGCCACTAAAGGTCTCTAGGCTGGAGGCTCCTCGTTTTCAGGACGTGGCCTCGGTCGCTGCTGCCGGAGATCTGGAGGGGGGATGCTCTTGGCGCTGGCCGCGAGGTGGACCGGACTTCGACGCAGAGAGCGAGAGGCTCTCGTCCTGAAATGGGAAGCAAAATGCAAAATGCACGGAGGGGCCGGCTTCCCCCCCACAGCGCCCGGGATTCGTAGCGCAGGGAGGGCCCTTGCTCTGACGTCCTGTCAGTCAGGACCTCCGGATGTTGGGGAGGGGGAGAAACCGCCTTGCTGAGCTGGTGAGCACAGCGGTGGCCTGATCGCACCCTGAGCCCCGTTCAAAGGGAACTTCCCCAGAGGCCGGCAGAGATGCAGTGGAGAGGCTGGGCTGCTCCCGCTTGCAGTCCGGCACCCTCCTCCTCCTCCTCCTCCTCCTCCTCCCCTTTTTCCTCTTC